AGAACTGGAATCATTATCCTCTGCAACAACTAGACAATCAGCTTCAAAGGATTTTCCTCTTCCCTTCTTACGCTTCGAACAGTCTTTCTCTCAACACCTTCGTTTTGTTCTTAGACTTGGAACGACCTTTACTACCAGACTCTCCCTTCTGATTCATTCTCCCTCTAACTAACAACCCCTCTGCCAGACTCTCTCTATTGCCTTTAAACGCCCTTTTTTGCAACTCTTTGGAATTCAGAGCTGCCTTCACGTCTTCCATGGACAAAACATTTTTCCCATACATCATCATATCGACAAATTTATAACACAAGGGTGGTAAAGAACACAATAGAATAATAGCTCGATCTTCATCCTCTATCTTGATATCAATATTATTCAATTCCATGATAATACTGTTTACCTCGTCAAGATGTTCTTTCAGAGTCGAACCTTCATGCATATGAAGAGTGAACAACCGCTTCTTTAGATACAAGTGGTTCGCAAGAGATGTCGTCATATACCGAGACTTGGTCCACAACTCATTCGGCGTAGTCTCTCCAGCAACTTCTTGTAAAACCTCATTACTCAGGCACAACATAATCGTACTGTGTGCTTTCTCTATAACCTTATCTTCATCTTTAATCTTTTCTGGCAGTGCATCCTACCCCTTCAGCACTTTGGATAACATATATTGAACCAATAGAGCTTGCATCCTAACCTGCCACAGATTGAAATTTTCTTCCATTGAACTTCTTGATTTCTAGAAACTTAGACGCCATCCCTCTTCGACCCGAAAGGCTTTGATACCAGTTTGTTATGACAAATATAGCGAACCCAAGAAACAACCAAGAAACACAACAGAAAATAAACACGCCACCACAAAGAACACAATGATTTAGCGTGGTTTGGCAAAGCCTACATCCACGGTGAAGATCCGACGTAAGTTTTCATTATGCGAAACTCAGTAGATTACTAGTTTTAGCCCCAAACCCTAGCTCCGGCTCTCACTCTCTTTTCTGCGATTTTCAGTGTCTCTCAATATCCCACTCCAAATCCTAAAAGCCTTTATATATTGTGCTACAAGAGCGTACTAATTAAGGTCCACAACCCGCAATAAAAAGGGTCAAAATTTCCATTCAACTGGTTGTCGGGTCGAAAACGCTACCCGACACCAAATTCGGGATCACAATTCCTTTAGATATCCTGGTTCCAAGTCCCAATGATGATTGGAGTAGTAACAGTCTTACTTACAGTTGTAAGTGGAATTTTTTGAAATAGGCTTAATGCGACAAATATTGTTTATACTAGGTCTTATGTAGAAATATATAGTCACCATTTAACATTTTTAGATGTGTTTACGTTTCCTCTAATATAGGCATTAAATAATATATGGATTTTGAAATAGTTTTTGATCAACTAATTTGGAAAGACCCTTTGAATTGTGACTCCATTTATGTCAATGTTACCAAGAATCTTGGAAATGGGGTTTGATTATTTTAAGGCAATTATCACATTCTTAAATGATATTCCCAAATGTTTTTGTCCTTTAAACTTTTCCAGAGTTGGCTTCAATTTTTTGAAAGAGTTGTGTGTTTTGGAAACAAATGTTATGCTCTTGGACATTTCAATGTTTGCCTGTTAGATTCAGATTAAACAATTCGGTGCTTAAATCCTTGTCTAATGGTAATTTAGGTTTTTGAAAACTATAAAAATGGAGTTTTTGTCCTTCTCATGCTCATTGTTCTCAAAAAGGAGTGCTATTTTATGAAAATTTCAGCTAAGTAAAGGAGGGAGAATAAAAAAGGGTGATGGCCGATAGGGTAAGGACCAAAACCCTAGATTCTGATTGTGCAAGGTCCATGATCTAGACCTAGAACGGGGGGTGAATGGGTCTTGCTTGTAGCTTTACGTAATTTTAACCACCTTTTGAATTTTCAACTAAATTACCAGAATTTCAAATTTAAATTAAAACTTAAGAACAAATTCAGTCAGTCCATCATGCTAAACAATCATACCATTCAAACAGTAGTAAATGAAAGCAGTAAAAAGCATGAAGGACACCAAGATCTTTTATGTGGAAAAAATGGGAAAAATCACGGGACCTGGTCTAGAAAAACCAAATCCACTACGAGAAAGAAGTTCAATTAGGTTAACAGTTCCCAAATCCTAGAACCCTAGTTACCTTTTGACATAGACTGATCCACCAAACTCTCCATTTGAGTCTCCAGGCACATAGTCTGATCGTCAAGAAATTTGCTCTTGGCAACCCGTTTCTCTAACCAGTGGTTTGATCTCCAATGATCACTCATTCAATCCTCTTGGTTTGAATAATTGTTGGTGTTGAACTTGTTCAAATTAGCTTTGCAACAATTATGTTGTCAATACACTCATAAAAATCAATTAAACACGTTTGTGCACCAAAATTTGCCAACATAAAAACCAAGTTTCTCACAATCTCCCTTTGACAATTTTGTGACAAAACCACCTAATACAGTTGTAGCCTAACCTGTAGTTGTAATAATTAATCAACGGTTTCTGAATCTTGTTAGTATGATTAAAACCTGTATTCTGCAAAACAAGACTAAAAATTACCCATCTGAAAGCTTAGTAAAACAAAGAAAGTAAATATGTAACTCTCCAAAAAGAATTATCTCCCTCTTTGAGTGATCTCCCCCTTAAACTTAAGCAAGAGCACTCTCTTTTATTTTATTTTTACTGCTTATGTGTGATTTATTTACTGTACTTCAATTCATTAAAAATGAAAATAATTTAAAAATCAATCAAATGAGCAATCTAGACCTATTCACCCCCTTTATGCATAGCGTAACTCTCAAGTGGTATTAGAGCTTGGTATTTGGCATAATTATTTCCTACATATTGCCCTTAATTTTACTGACCATCTCTTACCATTTTCTCTTAATCTTCTTATTCAATCATATCCTTTTTAAGAGATGAAAAATGTCGTGTTTTATAAAAATAAGGTCGAGAAAATACGATGTTCTGAAAAGCATGAAGATGATGGATGCAACGCAATTCTGGTGTCTCCATGGTTCTTTTCTACCATGGGGTAATACCACATTCGGATTGCACCACAATATTTCCCCCAAACTATGTGTCAATCTTTAAAATAATGTAGATCGCACCATAATAGCCTAAACTTGGACTAAAGACATGAAGAAAATCGCAAAAGAAGAAGTATGAAAAGAAAGGAGTAGATGTAGTGAATGTATTGTATAAGAGATGAAGAAAGTAATCAAAGACAGTAGTAATAAAGAGAATTAAGTAGAATTTCATCACTCCATTAATCTTTTATAGCATTAGAGTGATGTCATAGACAGAGTGCACTCCATAAAATTTCTTACTTAGATTTTTCTTAGACTACACCGCTAAAGCCAAGAGCAGGGCTTTAAGCAATGGATTGGTGGATATTAGTTGCTGAAGATAAGAGGAGCCACCTAGCTAGATCTCTTCTTTCTCTCTCTAGCATTTTGCTTGGATTTTGGTGTGAAATGGGGGCATTTGCGTCCCTAGGATTATATGGAAACATGGGGGATGCTTGGTGCAATTAAGCAGGGTCATTTGTGACCTTTAGGTATTGTTTGGGGAGTGGAATATTTTTCCAAATCAGTTTTTCTGAAAAAAAGGCACAAAATGGGGTGTCTAATATTTACTAACTTGGAATTTTTATTTATGTACATTTTTTTGTCTGTTTTAGGAAAGTCCATGCTGTTTTAATCTTTCCATATTATGATGATCTTGAACAAGTTTTCCTATTATGGGTAAATATAATTTCTTGTATTGTGTTGTGGTCTTTCTTGTCTATTTCTCCACTTATATTTCATGTGCTGAACAGACCTTAACTAATTTATGTTTTTGCGTGCTAAGGCATGGATAGTAATGGCGATGGTGCCAAAGTTTGGAATGGGTAACCCATCTCCTTAGCCCACTATGTGAATGAAGAGATCCCCAAACCCATAACTTGCCCTAGGCTGATGCGGGGGAATACTATAATCAGGACGGGACATTTTCTTATCAGTCACGGAATAAATTTTTTAAACCAAATGCATACTAGTATCATGGGAATGATTTCGTGCACGATAGCATAAACAAGGGATAGAAGTTCAACTTTAAAATTTTAATCACATAGCATTATGTAAATGCCACTGAAGAAGTTGATGGTGATATTTATAGAAGTTGGTGGCCTCTCCTTTTGTCTTCCAGCCGACATGGGTGATGGGACAAAGGCATCTGCTACAATTTACACATATTTGGGCAGGGTGGGTGGATGGGTTTTATTAACCTGAGCCCAGCCTTAACTTGAACTAGGGATTGTGGTCTTTTACATAACCTACCCTTACCTCGGTTTTGACATCTCAAAAGTTGTCCCTGCAACAGTGGGCTGGGTAGTTAACTCAACTAGTGGCTCAGATTGTCATTTCCTGGTTGATGGCAATGGCAAGGGTACAGGACAGACCCCCTACACTGTCAATCCCACCAAGAAGGCATTTGACTCCCAGAAGGACCCCGTACAACCCACATCACATACCCGTGGCAAGTTTCTCTCCAGTCCCATACTTGATAGCAAACAATTTCTTGAAATCTATCCCTGCCCTTGCTATACCACCTTGTTTTAGATACATGTGTGTGCATGTATACATAGAGGAAGAGCAAACAAGTGAGGAAGAGCAAACAAGTACTTGCAAGAATGTTGATACAACATATCTGTTAGCACATAAAAAATACAATGTTTTGCATTTCCTTCAGGAAAAATCATAGAAAATTCTTGAGTGCTTTTAAACTGTCATTATAATATTTTTAATAGTGAACATGACATGGGGCAATCTATAATGTGCACTCTCCATCAAGAGATGAACCTCAGATCAAATGCACCCTCTAATCTTTATACTTGACATTGTCATTGTAGTTTGTGACCTTACTTCTGTTGGTCCAATAGATGTTCTATTTTCAGCAGAAATATATGAACTTTCCGACTGACCTATCTCCTTGTTTCTGATTTCTAGTTAAAAAGCAAGCAAAGCCGAGGCATCGATTTGGTGGTCAACGTGTGGCCTCCAATTGCCATCCTTACCTTCATAGTTCAATAAGTGATAGGTACTAGTACTACCCGAATTCCTTGCATCCTCTGTTTTATTAATGTTGTTGCTCTGTTTACTCTTTGTTTGTCAATCATTTTCAGATTCGCTATAAATGGCTGGGGAAATTTTAACTTCCATTGGGATTAAGATTGGAGAGTACTTGGTGGAGCCAACCAAACGTCAACTGCGTTATATGATCTGTTTCAACAGCATTGTTGAAGATCTCAGGAAAGAAAATGAAACTTTGAAGTTGATGCAACATAAAGTGCACAATTTAGTCGAAGTAGCCAAGAGGAATGTTGAAGAAATTGAAAAAGATGTTCAGGAGTGGTTGAAAGATGTGGATGGTATCACGATGGAGGTGCCGAGTTTGGAAGATGAAATCAGAGTGAACAAGAGTTGCATTACTGGGTGGTGTCCCAACTGTAGTAGGCGGTACAGGTTAGGTAAGAAACTAACAAAAAAGACTACCATTATTATTGGGCTCCAAGAAAAGGGCAACTTCAATAGTGTCTCACACAATGCAGCTCCTCCGGGGATAGAACTCTTGTCATCCGGAGATTTTATGGCTTTTGAATCCACAAAATCTGCCTTCATTCAGATTATGGAGGCACTGAAAGATGATAAGACTAACATCATTGGGGTACATGGAATGGGAGGACTTGGCAAGACAATGTTAGTGAAAGAAGTAGGTAAGAAAGCCAAACAATTAAAGCTATTTGATCAAGTTGTGATGGCTGTTGTCTCCCAAACTATCAAAATAAAAGAAATTCAAGGTCAAATTGCAGACATGTTAGGTCTGAAATTTGATCAAGAAAGTGAAACCGGAAGAGCAGGTAGGTTGTGTATGAGATTAAAAAATGAGAAGAAGGTCCTCATTATCTTGGATGATGTTTGGGAACATCTCAACTTGACAGAAATAGGAATTCCCTTTGGTAATGATCACAGAGGTTGCAAAATTGTTCTTACTTCTCGTCGCCAACAAGTATATACCTCTATGGGGGTTGAGTGGAAGATCCCCCTGAATATCATATCCGAAGAAGAAACACAGGTTTTATTAAAAAAGAATGCAGGTTTAGGAGACAACATTCCAACTCTAAATGCTGTAGCAACACAAGTTGCTAAGGAATGTCAGGGGTTGCCCATAGCAATTGTAACTGTAGGTAGGGCTCTACGGGGTAAAAGTCTTGATGAATGGGAAGAAGCAGCTCAGCAACTTCGTGTATCTCAACCTGTGGACATTGAAGGTGTGGATAAAAAAGTTTACAAATGCCTTGAGCTGAGTTATGATTACCTAGTTAGCAAGGAAACCAAGTGGTGCTTCTTATTTTGTTCCTTGTTTCCAGAAGACTATGTAATTGATTTGGAGGACTTGTGTAGATATATGGGAGGGCAGGGGTTGTTTAAGGATGTTGATACAATTGAAAAATCTAGGAGGAAAGTGCGTACTATAACCAACAATCTTAAAGCTTCTGGTTTGTTGCTAAGTCATGATGGGGAACAATATGTGAGAATGCACGATGTTGTTCGTGATGTTGCCTTACAGATAGCATCCAAAGAGAAGCATATGTTCATGGTACGAGCTGGCTCCACTTTGAAGAAGTGGCCCGAGCAGGAAAGGTTTGATCGTTGCACCGTAATTTCCTTGATGGCCAATGAACTTCATGAGCTTCCTGATGGCTTGAACTGTCCAAAACTTGACACTTTGTTGCTGGGTAGAAATAAAGCTTGCGTAAATATACCAGCTTCATTCTTTGAAGGGATGAAAGGACTCAGAGTCTTAGATCTAAGTCATAGCCGGGGCTTTTGTGGCGAAATAAATATAGTTCAGCAAGTAGAACGACCAAAAATGCAAGTTACCTTGTCACTCCCGCCGTCACTCGAACTATTGACAAATCTTCGAACTCTGTACTTGTGTGATCAGGTTTTAGGTAACATATCTATTCTTGGAAAGTTAAGGAAACTTGAGTTTCTTTGCTTCTGCAATTGTGAAATTCATGAACTGCCAAATGAAATAGGGGAACTGAGCAATCTGAGATTGTTAGATTTGACAGATTGTTATGCACTAGAAATGATTCCTGCTTATGTGATTTCAAGATTATTGAAACTCGAAGAACTTTACATTGGTGGTAAAAATTTTAGGCGGTGGGAGGTTGAAAGCACAAGCAAAGAACGAAGCAATGCTAGCCTATCCGAGCTAATTTCATTGCCCCACTTGAAAAATGTAGCGGTGGTCATGGAAGATGTTTTATGTCTTCCCAAAGACTTCCATTTTCGAAACTTTACAAGATATAACATAGGCATAGGTTGTGAATCAGGTGGATATCCCAACTCAAACTCCCTGCAACTTGAATACGTTCACTCCGCCTTACCAAGTGCCATCAAGGAGTTGCTGTCAAGAACAGAGTATTTATCTTTTACTTCACTGGAAGAAGGCTCTCGCAATATTATCCCCAACATAGATCAAGAAGGTTTGAAAGAGTTGAAGTGTCTTAAGCTTCATTGCTGTGATGAGATTGAATGTCTGATCGATACGACAAAATGGAAACAGCAAATTGCATTCCCTAATGTGGCTGAATTACATCTGGATGGAATGGAATGCATGAGAGTGATATGCTGTGGTAGGCTCCCTGTGGGATTTCTGCAAAAATTACGGGTCTTTGTGGCGACACAGTGTAGAAATTTATGTGATATAGTTCCAGTGCTGGGATCACCATTGTTGGAAAAAGTGGAGATTGGACATTGTAATAAAATACAACATGTTTTTCAACTTGGAGAAGAGTTTCTTTTTAAGGAAGAAAATATACCATTTCTCTCGAATTTAAAAGAGTTGAAATTGTCATATTTGAGTGAACTCCAGTGCATATGGAAAGGGCCCACCCACCTAGTATACCTCCACAATCTTGAAGTTCTAAAAGTGAGGGATTGCAAAGGACTTAGGAATTTCTTCCCACTTCCAATTGCTCGAAGTCTTATTCAGTTAAAAATTCTTGAGATACGCATGTGTCAAGAATTGGAACAAATCATTGCAGATGTGGACCATGAAATGAATCTATCAGCAGCAGATCAGTGCCAAGCAGAAGCAGCGAGTTTCCCACACTTACAAATTCTCACAGTAGAAGGATGTGATAAATTGAATAGCCTCTTTTCAGTCACCATTGCTCGAAGTCTTCGGCACCTTAAAGAACTAAAAGTAGTAGGAGCCTCTGAGCTAGAGGAGTTATTCAGTGAGGAAATAGAAGCAGACATCAGATATAGGACAGAGATTGTGCTTCCAGAATTAAGCTACCTGGAACTTAGGAAACTACCAAGATTCACCAGGGTCTGCTCGGGAAGTTACCATTTTATATGGCCACATATGAAAGAGTTGCAGGTGGAGGACTTACCAGGAATGACAACCGATGCTACTGCTAATCTGCTTTGTACAACAGTTTCAAAAGGAAAGGTACACACTCCTCAAGAAAAATGTGTTTGTCTTTTGATATTATTTTCTTTTCTTTTGTGTGTACGAGTCTGAGGCTGTGAGCACATGCGTATATGGAGATCATGCAAGTGGAATGCTAGTTAGTTAGATGATGTTCAAGGAAGTTATGCTTAGACCCTGCATCTCTCTTTCTCTACTAATAATTATGGAATATATTTTCTTATTTTCTTGCTTTAATTTATCTTTTTCTCTCTAAATTATTAGATTCCCCAATCCCTCATTCCCATGAGCTGGATGGCTCCATCGGTCCATCCTGAGTGGTGCCATTAAAGCCACAAGAAAGTTTGGATTCCCCACCTCACCAAATTGAAAATATCAACATTGAATCTTTATTCTTTAAAATCAGGTTCATTTATAGTGCTTAGAACCCATATCCACCTATGAGACTTGTCAGTTTTGAGTTATTTTCAGTGAATTCAAAGATAATTACCTTCATATGTGAAATACCAAAAGATACTAAATTCTGTTTGAGCGTGCATTGAAAATTACTATATTGTTTCATTTAATACTTAGAACTTGACTCTTAACGTCTAGTGATGCTGTTTTGATGTTGTTGTCTAGCTGGTTGCACATGTTTACTTCTTTGCTTGTTAGGCTTAACAGCCCTCCACCCAAGCCCACTTTTATCTGGAGTTTGTGGCTAAATGTGAAGTGAAACTTATAAAACATGTTAATTATTCCATTGACTCCTACAGGTTTACTTAATTCCAATTTTATGAGTAATTTTTTAGTTAAAATAGAAAAATAATATCCTTTGCCATAAGACAACCCCAATAGTGAGTCAAAAAATATATCAGTAATCTGAGTTCATCCATAATGCAATTCATACACCATAATTAATCATTTGAATTTAGGTTTACTCCAGACTGTTCAAATGAAATTTGCAAAGCATGAATGGAGAGTGTCTATTCAGCAATATCGATTTTCTAAGTCACCCCCCGAACCAATCGGAAAATTTCTCTTCAAATTGCTGTGGCAAGTTGGCAACCCTCTTTGGAAAAGAATAACATGGATGGTTTGACTAGTCTATGTCAAAATTTTCTTTCATCTGTTTGCTGCTCTGCATAGCCTCAGATTGGCATTTGGTTCTACCTTACGAGACTCCACTCCCAAATAAATACAAATATTCACTTAAAAATTAGGAAAAAATATACACTTAAAAACATATCATATAATCTGAATTCCACTTTGTAGATTAGGACTAACATGAATTTAAGGAATCACCATCATATGACTTCTTACAACTATACTGAAACAGATTTGTTAGTAATGGGTGGATTGTGTTGCTAATTCCATGTTGGGGTTACGTTTTGATTTTCTTCTTTCATTTATTTATTTTGGTCCCGACGATTACTGATAATATTTATCAAAAAAGAAAAAAAGAAAAAATAGGGAAATATAAGTGAGCAAAAACCCTAAATTCAAAATTAACAATCTCTCAAACATGCTGGGGCTTAAAGGTTTGTTTTGTTAGTTATGTGTTTTAATAGGAGGTCAATATTTTGTTCGCCTACATTCAATCTCTTTTGTACTAACCATGAGTCCCATATGCCAATGCAAATGGACCAACCAAAAAACTTTGGTTACGTTCGAAAACTGTTGCTGGCATGATAGCTAAAAGGAGAGCTGGGTTAAGGGTTTGATTCTTCATCTGGCATTTAAAGAAAAGGCTATGCAATGGAACACCGATGGAGACGAGATATATATATATATATATATATATATATATATATATATATAATTTTTTGTTTTTTCCTGAATGGGTGTTTCATTGAAAGAAAACTACAAAAGGACAAGGAAAAGGAGGGCAGAAACTCCTACCAAAATAAAGTTAATGGCAGAGACCATTTCCAATGCAAAAAGATCAAAAAAGAGATCATAATCAATACACAAAAAAGACATCAAATGGCAGGAAATAAAAGGTGGAGATCATGCAGCTGCAATCCCATCCTGACAAGGCACTCTCAAAGAACCAGCATAGCCAACTCCTAAACAGACCTCTTAGAATCACAATGCACACCAGAATTCATCTGAGTCCAAATTCTCCATAGATAGTAGGCAGAACACAGTTCTGAAAGGTTGATTTAGAAGACTTAATGGATGTGGATTGTATGAACCATTTAACCAGCATATCAATAGTGAGTATTTGAGGCAAACAAATGTTCACCATGTCAAAGGTATATGTTACCCAAACAATGACCCAAGAAGAGAGTGAATTGGGTCTTTTTGGCAAACTATAGTAGATTTTTTACTTTCATCAAATACTTGGTGTGCAAATAGATTTAGCAAATGGAAGTGCTAATATAAATACAATACTCAGAAGTAAAGATACAAGGATAGGGAGATGCAAACATAAGAATACCAATTCGTAACGTGGTTTGGCACTCCTGCCTATATCCACGCCTCAGAGCACCTCTCGAGGATTCCAAATCCACTATACCACTCCCCTTCACAGGTGGAGAGAAAACCTTTCCACAGCTTCACAAGCTTGTTCTCCTTTGCTAAGTGAGTACCTCACCTCAACTTCATGCACTAACCCTTTACAACAGTCTCAAATATAGAAAAATTTGTGTACAAGAGATATCCCTTAATTAATGGAGTTTACAAATCAAAGCTCTCTCTCTAAAGTAATAGATGTAGCAAGTGATGAAAGCTCAAAGCTCAACTCTAGAATATGAAGGTATGAATGCTTGGCAAGATATTCAAAATTATTACCTAATTTGGTAAAGCAGTAAAAAGTATAAAGGTAGTGAGCCAAGGACCTTCTATTTGTAGCCTCATTGGGAAAAGTATCTGTTTAGCACTTAAGAGGCGTTTTTGGTTTTGCGTATAAGCGAAATATGGTGCTCATATAAATGTCAGTCTGAGACTATAGACGCCAATGAGACCTTTTTACCTTATGGTTAGATGTCTGTAACCTTTCAGGTAGACATCGATATTCGATAGAACAACTCAGAAAATGCCTTCTCAGTTAAGTCTTGAATCACGAAGGCATAGACGTCTATCTATACGATATATATGCCTGTAAGACTTATTTTATTTTATTTATTTATTTGAAAAACAAATAAGAAAAAAAAAATGGATCTGCAGATTTTGAGCGCATATACATCTGTGTCCAAGCATATAGACATCTTTATAGACTTTTTCTGAAAAATTTTCACTTGCAGTTTCTGGCCAAAACATGAAGACATAGACGTCTGTGACTTATTTGCATTTAAGTTCATTTTTCTCTTGGCCATGTAGACGTCTTAGTCAATTGTACTTTTGAATTTGAACTTTTAAGGTTCAAAGTGACTTTCACCTTGTTCAATGGCTGTTTTGCATTTATGATTTAAATCATCTAAGTCCAAGGGTCAAGTCAATCATTCTAGGGACCATGATATGACATGAAATTAATCTATTTGGTCCTAGGTTCATTTTAGAGTCCTATACTTGAGCTTTCAAATCACATGCAACAAGAATTACTTTACAGTTTACAATCAAACCTAGTTCTCACCAAACCTATACTACCCATGATCTTGACCTTAAAATTCCATCATCGTCATAATTCATAGGTTCAGATGTGCTTCGAGTACTTGAGTTTCACAAATAATCTGAAATGATCACACTCAAGTAAATTGTTAAACTCTCAAATTAATAGCTTGTTATCTTTAAAATTACCCAATTGCCCTTGGGTTGAAACCTTGGGGTTAACAGTACATCTACAAACAGCAGCTGCATAATAACAACTCCAAAAGTGATGATCAGTTGAGTCTTCATTTTGAAAATAATTATGACATAGCAGCAATTTGTACACCTATTTTCCTTAAATTGACAAAAGATGGAATAGCATTCTGCAAAATCAAGGAAATGAACACAGCTACCCTTGGACTACAATTATTCGACACTCTTTTTTTTTTTAATACCAGGCTTGTGCTGTGTACAGTAATTCCATGCAACTGATGTAATATTTGACAGCCTGGGGTAAGAAATTAGGAATAGTCAAATGACTTTTAAAAATAATGGAAGAAACTAAAGCATCCCTTCCTAAACCCCTGCAGGATCTTGCTCCAAATTTCTGCAACAAGGAGAGACCATCACATCAAGGATCTTGAAGAAGTTAAAACTGTTGCCATCTCCAGTCTGAAAAGAACAGTTCTGAATCATAAAAGACCTGACAAGGAAAATCTTGTTCCAAGCAGCTGGAAAAAGAGACTTAGGAAGAGTGGTCCAGAAAAAAACAATTCTTCAAATATTGTTGATATGGCATTACTTTTTTTAAGAAATTAGTTAAATTGTTGATTAAGGCTCATTAAACCGTTAATCGGTCTCATATATTTCAACGTTCATACACTCAATGATTTTTTTCACTTCTTTTCTTTTTCTCCTTCCTTTGGTGTTGACCTTGTGGATGATGGCACTTGATCTTCTTTGACGAGTTCTGTACTGTGGCTACAGCCTACTGGCAACCTACACTTCCCAAAAGTTTTTCCCTTTTAGTTTGTAATACTTATACTTTGGGATGATTGCGTCTTTAATTTATACTATCTTACCTAATGTACTTTGCTTTTAGGAGTAAAGGAAGTAAATTGATGATCTGAATTAAAAAAGACAGGTGAAACCTTGAAAGGATGAGCTCAGCTCATGCAAACTCCCAATGGATGGTTATCACACTAAATTTGATTTACATATGTAATAGAATTTTATATTATCCTATTATTTCGAAACACATGAAACAGCTTCAATAATGCAGTTTGATAACTACCACTTATTTCATTTAGTAACTCGGTTAAAATATATCTAAATCAATGGCATTCACAATAAATTTATGTTCCATGTTCTGCTATTAATTGGGTTTGCAGTTTTACAGAATTTACAGGTACTTAATGTGAGAAGATGCAACAAATTGTGTGCAGTATTTCTCAACAACTTCTTGATGAGATCACCGGCTTTGAAAGAAGTGACTGTTGAAGAATGTGATGAAATGCAAGCGATATTTCTGCTTGATGGGATTATTATTGAGGAAGACTATGAGCTGCCTCTCTCAAAATTGAACACCTTGATTTTAAAGTTTTTACCTGAATTGAAGTGCATATGGAAGGGACCCACCCAACCGGTAAACCTCAGGAGTCTTAGAGAAGTAAGAGTGCGTTGTTGCAATAGATTAAAAAATCTCTTTTCCCCCACTCTTGCTCAAAGTATGCAGCAACTGCGAACTCTTTGCATACAAGATTGTGATGAATTGGAGCATATTATTGCCGAGGATGATAACGAGAAAATGTTATCAGAGAGTTATCTTCAGTCCATATCCTTCCCAAAACTGAGGTATCTCTCAGTAATGGAATGTGACAAATTGAAGAGCCTCTTCCCAATCAACATTGCTCAAGGCCTGCAGCAACTAGTATCTCTTGAAGTTTCTAAATCCCCTCAATTAAAAGAATTGTTTAGCAAAGAAAAGGAAGGGGATAGTCGAGATGGGAAGCAGATTGTGCTCCCCTATTTGAGGGAACTGCTACTCCAAGAACTACCAAACCTCATTGGCTTCTGTTCTGAGAGTTCCCAATTTGTATTTCCATCATTGAAAGAATGCAGGGTGAATCAGTGCCATAAAATGACGGCAAGCTTTCTTTCTGATTCGGATGATTCACTGCACGCTACAAGAAAGGTGATTAATGGCATACATAATATACTTGTCAATGCTTTGTAAAATTTTAGATAACGAAAATAACAAAACTTGAACATTCAATGGATCAAAAATATCTGAAAAGAAAAAAGAAAAGGAAACATATTACACGTGGTCCATGAATTGTGTATTTGGCAATTTTGATGAGTTTTACAGTTAGAACTAAATGTAAGTCACATCATAAAAGGTCATATTTTTTTTTTTTTTTTTTCCGTTCATTTTCCAATTCTTTTATCCCAACATTTCATCAGTTCACGATTGTACTTGAATATTTTTAAGTCCTTCAGAGCACAAAACACGGTTTTTAATCACTAAAGTATGGTTTCCTTGAACACCAGGCTATGGTTTTCCCAGCAATTCTTCTCAATCCTGACCTCTACCTTAATGCCCATATCATTCTTTATGGATAGCATGAGTGTTCTGGCACAATTAGCATGAAAGGAATGCAAACATCTAACGAAAGGGTAGAACATCATTTTGATTTGGAGTTTGACCAATTAAATGATAATGTAGCTTAAACCATTAATTTTTATCAAGCTGCTTTTATTTTTGACACCAGCGACTATTTATTTATCTCCTGTTATGTAAATATAGTTTGTTTATTTTGGTGTGTTTAAAACCTTGGGATGCTGCGGGTGATTTAAGAATTAAGCATTATGTAAAATATATTCATCTATGTGCACACTCATTAAAGAATTAAGCATTACTATACACTATATTTGATTAGAATGAGACTCATAAAACGACAGCATCAGACAGTTGTTTGAACTCTTTTCATTTCTCACATTGCAAACCGTGGATTCTCCAAGTTAGCATAGTTTCTAACATATTCATTTTTGTCATAGAAATATTGAAAAGAATTATCAAACTTTTGTTCCTGAAAATTTATTGATTGGTCATTTAACGTCATCTTTATAATTCACAAAGCAGTCATGAAAATCCATTCGAAAACTAGATTTATTGTATTCTGAGACCAAAACATGTGTATTAATACATTTTGTGATGCTTGTGGAATGAAAAAAAAAAAAAGAATGTCAAGCTCCGATGGTCATGTCCATTATGCTAAGTAAGTTACAGCCCATATAAATGTTATGATTGCCAATACCATCACTTAAACTAGTCTTTTATTGTAGTTGTTTCGTTAATCCCCTTCTGCTACTAGTGTTTGATTTTCCTTTCTGCTTAAACTGTTTGTACTTTTTTCTTTACACACTAATGTTACATGTAATGAGGGGTATAGCAAGTCCTCAGCAATTATGATTTTGATTTGAGTGGTAATTAATCCTTTACCAATAAATTCTGCATATTGTACTTGTATGCAATTCAGTAATCCCTGTTTTGTAATTGTTTATGAAGTTATTATATTCACATAAAAGTTTCTCTAAACTTTACCAGTTATTATTATTATTTTCTCCGAGAAAGAAAACCCTAGGGCTGCATTAGACTACTTATGATCATGCCTCAAGTATAAATGTGTATATAAAGACTCGCACGCATATTGGTTTCATAGCTTCAAAGCTTTACTCCGTTGCTCCTGCTTTTCGATCTTTTACTGTCTGTTGTATTTAGTAACATCTACACAATTTTGCCCAAGGATATGAACCCTAGTTTAAATTTTACAATATCTAATATTATTTATTTATATTATACATCTGGCCTGAGCCATTGGCACCACAAAATGATCAAACACTAATTTTTTTATTTAGTTTTTGGATCCAACTAGTTGGGATTAAACATTTTTCAGTTGAGTAGTTGAGTATATAATGTCCGAGGACCCTGTACTGTCTGTTAAGTGCCTCAGTGAATGAGGAAACAATTGTCATGCACATTCTTTATCTCTATATTCTTATCCATCGCATAGTAGCCTCCAATATTTTCATTTGCTGCACCATTTATCAATCCTTGCATTGTTGGTGGATGTGTTGTGAAACTTTTACAGCTTGAATGCATTGTTTGTAATTGTTTCAACTTTTTATTTTTTTACCTTTTTTTTCTTCTTTTTATTATTTATATTTATATTTTTTTTGGTGAGAGCCTTATCTCACTTTGTACAGAGATCAACGGTATGCTGTTGTATATCAAGTAGTTGAGGCTAGCTAGTTATATAAATGGATATCTTTTGGCTCAAAATTACTTGGACATTATAATAATATATTCTTTTATTGATAAAAAAAAAAAAAAAAAAAAAAAAAATCTTTCTTGTTCCTTCACAACATAATAATACTATTCATATGTGAAATTGCAATAAAATGTGCAGAACTGGTGTTAGCTGATGAACCTATCCAGGGGAGGTCTACAACAACTAAACCAGGTTGGATGCTATGTTATTAAAGGCTTGACAATGGATAGTATACCTATATCTATATATATACACCTAGAGGGAGAGGAACCTTAGAAGCTTCGGTCACCGAACCAGGTAAATCTTGAATATTCTTGTGTTTCTTTCTTGGCTTGCTGTTTTTTTGGCTCCATTATTGATTTTTGTTGATTATTTTGACTGCATGTAGTTGATCATGATTTGCTGCACCAATACTTTAATATCAGATCGTAACTGCAGTAACCTTGGTGGTACATGCTAAAGAGAGTCCTTAATGAAGATGTTTCTCATCTGTGATGTCAAGGGAAGGGTCATTCTTTATTAGAGTCTAGACTTTCCATACATTATGAATTCCATGATATACTTCATAAAAAATCTGAGTACGTAACAAAAATGTTGAAAGACCAAGCAATATGTAACAAAAATGTTGTGATTTCTCTGTATATATTACAATATATTTACTGCTTTCTTTGTGTAGCTCTCTAGTACTTGAACCCTTCAGTAAGAGTGTTTATTCTCTCTGTTGGGTGGAAACAATTGCAAAATGAGATTTTGCAGAACATTTCTTTTGGGATGACAGATGAGCAACAATCAATGTTTCTTACAACTTGCTTCTCATTACTGGACTTGAGTACGTTATTGGGAAGTGGGACTCAGACCTCTAAGTTGAACTTGTGAATGTTAACAAAAGTTGAAATGTTAGAAGATGGACAAATGTAAACACACACACCCCCCCCCCCCCCCCCCGGGTTTTTTTTTTTTGGTGGTTGTGGGATTATCCATATCGTTGGGAGGAGGTTAGAAAAAGGCAACGTTTAATGTTATTTTTTGCAAAACAACCAGTCTCATATATAAACTTATATGCTTATTAATCCAGCTTTTACTATTACACTGGTACTTGAGTAGAGTGAGTAATTAATAAAATACATCAAATTTGTTACTACAATATAAGTCACACAATTCTCCTCAAAGGGTCGCTATTACGTCTTACGCGCTCTTGCTTCCCTTTTTACTCTGTGACTTAAATTTTGTCGTTTTCGTGCTCCTACTCTCTTATTCGCTCAATCTCGCTTCCGCATTGTGCGACTTAATTTATGACTCTATATGAACAATTTTCTTTGTATAAACTATTGGTTGCAGCTATAGTTTTTTAGTGAATGCTAAATGCTTGTACTGTAAATCTTTTACAGGCAAATGTGGGAGTTCAGTTGGTAAGAGGCAACATACTGGCGAAAGTCGACTTTTTTTTTTTTTTTTTTGAGATAGAGTAAGTTTAAAGACTACTGTGGAGACTAATTATTTTTATCAGAATTAGTAAATTTGCTTAATTTATTAAGCAAAGAGCGCTGATTATTATTATTATTTTTTTCACATTATAGCACACACATACTTTTACACATTATTATCATCACCGGTTATAACTCAATATAACTCAATGGTATTTTCTTTACCTTTCAAAGCGAAAGGTGTGAGTTGAAGTTCTCGTAGAGCTAAATGAATATGAGTTTTTCGGAAATATAAATATAAATATATATATATGTATATAATATAATAATAATAATTATAAATAAATAAAAAATCACACATTATATTCAATACAGAGAATTTGACTAGCCTGGATTACCTCTTGCTTTTCTGCTTTGATTAGCCTGCATTCCAATAGAACATAATAGTTCCACTAAAATTCTTGGGGTGTTCCAAAGAATCAACTTTTTATGATAGTAGATTTTTAATGGGTTTTTATTTTATTTTATTTTATTTTTTATTGTATTAATAAAAGTGAAATTTTAAATTTATCCTTGTTAAAGGAGAAAGAAAAGTACACTTATTTAATCAAGTCAATGTTAATATTTATTTTTTTATTATTCTTTTCATTGACAAGAAATACACACAAATCACTTACACTTTGAAAATAGGGTAAATTGCGGAAGCTAGGGTTTTAAAACGGATAAGGTAATAAACTAGGGGTAAAATGGTCATTTCAAATAGAAATGGATGCTACTGTACATACCATTGGATAGACAATGAAAAACTAATAAACTTTGACTCAAAAATCACTTGATTTGGAGTTGGAACGAAGAAATAAATTTATGAAGTTTTACAAAAATGTTGCCAAAATGTGTCCAGTACGATCGATTTGGCTTCGAGCAGTCATTTTTTTGAAAACATGTGATTTTGAAAGCTAAAAAGAGACTTTTTGGAAAAAGTTTGTGAAGAAACCCTCCCTAAAATAAGTCCTCTGATCAACGATGGTCTAAACCAAGAATAAAAGTAACATAAAATGACCAAAATGCCCCTGAGTGCAAGGTATGTCAAGAAGATAAAACATTTGGCTGTGAGCAGTTATTTTTCGAAAACGCTCGATTTTCAGGCTAAAATGGGACTTTTTGTAATGTTACTGATTTTTTCTATTTTATTTTTCTAGATTATTTTAATTCTCCTCTCGTTTTGAGTGCCACGCAGGTCCCGAGGGCCATTTTAGTTAATTCCTTAAGCCGAGGGTTTTGAAAATTTATTTTTAATCATTTTAAGTCAATTAGAAGTGACGGTATCATTTTTAGAATTTTTGGGAAGTCGAGACGATTTCCGGACTTGAGAACTTCTCCCAGTTTTGCCATTTTAAGAAAGGGGATAATGGACTTTTCTTATATATATGTATACATCTATATCTATATATTAGAGGTAGATATTTGTGGGATGTGGATGGTATTATGTATAAAGTGTATGGACATATTGGTAACTTAAGCATAAGTTGGTAACCATAAGATGGTGACACATGACACAACCTTTGCCATAGAAGATGCAAGACAACCACTTCTCCCCATTCTCCTTCTCATTTTCGGGCACCATTCTTCTCTCTCTATCACTTTCTCCATCTCTCTCTATATTCACACATATGCACACACATATATGTCATATATCATTCAAGCTTTGATTTGGAGAGTTTAAGGTGGGATTTTAAGCATGAGCAAGTAGGGAAGTTAGAGAGCTTGGAGAGGGCTTCCATTTGGCACCCATATTGCTATGGTTTAGAGAATTTCAAAATTTGGGGCTTGCTAAGGCCTTGTTTGGCTTGCTCCATTGAGGTAGGGGAAGTTTAAATTACAAATTGCTATAGTTTTAGTGGGTTTCTATATATTTTCTTGCATGAAAATCTTGATATTGTGAAGCATGCTTAGTTTGTAAATTTTTGGTTGTGATATTAAGCATAAGATAATATTGATCTAATTACTTGGGTTGAGAATATGATGGTTTCTTATATTTGTGTCAAGCATGCTATTTTTTCTATGAGAAAAGGTGAAAATATGATTTATATGATCAAATTTTATGTTTGGGTATTTTGATATGATTATTATGATGATTTATATATTGATGAGTGGTAGTATGATGTGCATATCCTTGGTATGGGGTGAGTTGAAAGGATGAAGGTTTGATGTGGGAGAGAAGGTTAGGAAATGAGATGGTGGTGGTGTTGTAAATTAAGGTGGTGGTTATGAGAGTTTTATTGAGGTTGGGTTGGAAAGGAAGAAGGGAATATTTGAATGGTTTGTGAATTTGTGAAATTCATGCATGATAAGCGTTGAATACTGTATATTCAAGCGCCCTAAATTACATTAACAAAGTCCATTAATTGATTATTTTATGTAGATTAACTCCATTTGCATGTTTTTGTACATTTTCAGGTTAAAGTGCAAAAAGGAAGCAAAAATGATGCCTTGTGGAATTTTGAACAAAAAGGGTGCCAATTCTGAAATTCTGGCAACAGTAGAACCTGACTTTTGTCGCCATTTTCGACCTAGCAAACTCAAGAACTGGACTTCCATCATAACATAAAAGATTTAGAGCTCTGAATTAGCTTTCTAAATCTTCAAACGGTTCATCATTCGAAGCTCGGAGCAGAGAGTTATGGCCTTGTTACCAGAGGTGCGCAGAACTGCTTGGCAGCACTGAAGTACTGTCTTTCTCCCCATTTTCGACTAACCAGACTTGAGAATTGGGTCTTCATCAAAACATGAAGTTTTTAAAGCTCTGAATCAGCTCTCCAAATCTTCAAACAGATCATCATTCGGAGTTCGGAGCACAAAGTTATGGTTATTCTTCCACAGTGGGTCGGAGATGGGTAAGAATTGCATGTTCCTCATTACACTAATTTAGAGTGCTCGAGACCACCCTTCGAGTGCTCGAAATTCAGGCAGATTGCACTCGAAAATGGCTCAATTTCAGCCACTTGCACATTGGTTTCCTCAATGCCATCTTCCTTCTTTATGAAGTGGTTGGAGGTGTTCCTTGGAGGAGAGAGAGCCTTGACTTGAGCTTGATAAGAGAAAGGGAGGACCACATAAAATCATTATCCTATATTCTAGCAAGATAGAGGAGAGAGAAGAGAGCAAGGAAGAGGGTGTTCTTGAGTGTTACAGTAGGTGCACGAAAATGGAGTCTTGGATGGAGCTTCTTCCTTCTTCTAGCTTAGCAATGGGTAACTAACTCTTTCTCTAGGGAGGTGATGAAGTCCCTCCCTTGTAAGCATGTCCTAGGATAGTCTATTTTGGGGATTTGCCATGTATATTTTATGGTCTTTTCATAACCAAGAGCACCTCATTTGTTGTAATGAATGTTGATATATGTATGGATGATTTCTTTAAGTTGATTATCTTGTTTTAGATGATATCTTAGAGTAATCATGTTGCTTGAGTTTTCATGGTGAAAGTGGAAGCAAAGTTATGAAATGGTTTCATGGCATGTTGATAGGTGACTTTGATAGACCATTGCTTAGGAAATCCTTTGATGGTGTATGCTTAATCTCTAACTCCATGTGCTTTATCATTTTGTCAAGAACTTGATAGTCTCTCATTTAAGTAAATGTGTATAAGCTACACCTTAGATAGGTAGTCGAAGCATGTTTATCTTTTGATGGATTATACTTGTTTGAGACCTAATGTACCTTGATTACCTACATGGCAACCATGTGTTGCTATGTAAGTCTTGACCATCATATGTTGTTTTTCCCCCAATTTAGGTCTAATCTAGTATATGTATAGGGATGGAGGCGGATTCACGTCCCTAGTCTCCTCTTCTTAATTTTTTTCATCCTAAATTCCTTGCAATTAGTGTTTTATGCATTTGGAATTCCTAATTTAAGTGACAACAAACAAAACCTCTATGAACACCCCTTCATCATCCTAAGAATGACTCTAGACACTTAGGTTGCCTTAGACTAGCGCAGTCCCAGTGGTTCGACTTACCCGACCAATAGCCCTATTTTACAATGATTCGTGCTATTGCGAATGTTGATGTTTAATTGACCAACCGATCAATGCATGATTGATATGACTTATATTCCCATGATCCCTTTTCTTTGATCTCCTCTTCTTTGGTTGTTGCTCACGAGATTTCTAGGAATGTACTTTAGGCTTTCTCTACTGAGCTGTTGAGCTCACCCTATTATTGTTAACACTTTTCAGGAATTCGGAGGTGAGCTGGAGAATGATGTACATCCATGGATATTGATGTAGCTAGGACTTCAATTCATTTTTTATTAAAGCTATGTAGTTTTGGCCATGGAAGCCTCATTCTCTATAATTAACTCTTTGAAATTGTATAAGAATCTGGTTTGTATAAAATCGATCTTTAAATGATGTCTTAGACTCGGACTCAGTTTAATTGAAGGCACGAGAGTATAATTTTGTTGTACACACTGTCAATTGCATAATTTGGGACATGTTTGAACTTTAAATGAGGTCACTAAGGGGCCAAAGGGGGGTTCATGTACATAAATACTCAGTTTTAGGCTTTTCTGGGCTGATTTTAAGCTTCTGATCTTCTGGAACCGGTTCAGCATTTGTGGAACCGGTTCAAGGGGTGTTTTGGTTCACGTTTGGGCATTCTGCCCATGTGGAACCGGTACCAAGATTTGGGAACCGGTTCAAGTCCTCTAGTGGACTTTTTGCCCTTCATAGTTTGACAGCTTAGATCACTCAACTTCGGGCGGTCATAACTTTTTCATTCTAAACCCAAATTAGGTCATTCCTATGTCCATTTTCAAGGATTTGAGTTAGCTTTCTAATGAGACCAATATCATCTTCAAATTCCATTCATGTTGAGAGTTATGGTGGTTTTAGTGGAACAGTGTCGGAAGTAACCTTGAACCGAGTGAGGGCGGTTTTAGGGAAATCATAACTAATGACCGTAGAACCTCTTCAAACATCATGGAACGACTAGAATGATTGTTTTAAATTTAGTTTGACTAGTTGTAAGGCAAATTATCCTCTCATATTGTAAAAAGACCATTTTACCCCTAGTGTGTCTTCGGGTTCAGGTAAGGACCGGTTAGTGATTTGGACCCCCGAGTTCGGGTCATTACAAATTTGGTATCTGAGCTTTAGGTTCAAAAACCTAAGGACGATGGGTAGGGTTGACCCAGATTGAGTTAGAGTTGGGTTTAACGGTATTACGTACTTATATAACTATTGCTTGTTTAGTTTTAAAGCATGACTTATTACTATGTGCTTAATTGTTAATATATCTATTTCATGGTCATGTTTGATGGATGTCTATGTGTTCATTACTCATTGAGTTTATTAATTGTCAAATGTAAAAGCTTGACCAACTGTTTAATGTTAAATGTATGTATGCAACTACTTATATGATTAAATTTGTTTAAAGCATGCTTGATTTGCCATGTGGTTAATTGTTAATTGTTTATTGTTAATGAAAACATGCTTGATTGACTATGTACCAAATAGTTAAGTGTTTATAATCTATGAAAACATGAATTATATGGTGTGATGATGCTTATTTGAGCACGATAGTTATGACCCTATTTTAGGACGTAGTTGCACGTCTAGGTTTACGTTGTGGTCGTCCAGGGAGTTGATGTATGTATGGCTAGCACGTTCCATTGTTAACGAGTTTGAGGTTTCGTAGTAGTGCTGTGTTGGGTTATAAAGGGTTTTGACCCACGTTTATAAGGAGCTTGATTATTCCTATGTCTCTAAATGTTTTAGTTCTTATCGAACGGATAGTGTGATCACCGTAGCTCGTGGATTGAGCTACTTCATGTATCATTTAATCATTTAGTTGCTTTTGTAGTACCGCGCTTAAAGACTACATGAAGTGATGGATCCGGATGAAGTTGGGGAGCAAACAGGTGAAGGGCCATCCCAGTCGGATAGGGTTTCACTGGGACAGGGCTGAGTTGGAGAGGTGGATGATAATCCACAAGTAACAGAGGATGATGTTCTATTAGCAAGGGCTGTAACCTCAGCCTTTCAGAATTTAGCGAGTACCATAACTCCTCAAGTGGTACCACGACCGGCTATTCAACCACAGGAGACAGAAGTGGAGCGGAATCTTAGGTACCTGATTCAGTTTGACAAACTCATGAAAGTAGCATTTGAGGGAGGTCCAGATCCATTAGTAGCGGATGATTGGTTAGATGAAGTTGAAAAGCATTTTAGGGCAATAGCCGTACCCGATGATCGGTTGAAGATCACCTTAGCCACGTATAAATTTGTTAGCAATGCGGCAGTATAGTGGAAAACCATGACTAGCGCGCATGATATTGATAGTATGAGTTAGGATGCTTTCAAGAGTCTTTTCTTCGATAAGTATTTCCCGCAGACTAAGAGACGGGAATTAAGGATGTAGTTTGACGGGCTTGAACAAAGCGACATGTCAGTGACAGAATATGAGAATAAGTTCACTTCTCTTTCATGTTTCGCTACAGATGTGTTAGGGAACGAAGAATAGAAGACATGATAATTTGTGTATGGTCTAAATCGTTTAATTAGGCCAGGGGTGACACTTTTGAGGTTAAAGAATTATTCGGAAGCGGTTATGAGAGCACTGATGGCAGAAGCAGAAGCCAAGGACTAGCAAGAAAGGAGTGGTATTGTGGGTTCTCAGGAACGAGGTACGAGTGTGGGTACTTTTTTCGGGAGCTAGGACAGGAAGAGGCACAGAGGTGCTTCATTGTTTTCTCAGGAGCAGCGAACGGCAGGTGCTACTCCTATTGTTGGTGCTTTTTTAGGGTCCTCTAGGACGAGTGTGATGTGTTATCACTGTAAGCAGCCAAGACATTGCAAGGCGGAGTGTCCTCTTGAAAGACCTAGTTCCGAAGTTTATTTTTGGTGTGATCGCTGGGCCACATGAAAATGGGATTGTCCACAGAGGAGATGAGATATTACTGTAATTGATTATGATGTAACGGGGGCGACCTGTGACTGTGATGTAATGGGGGGTTACCTGTGACTGTGTAACGGGGGATACCTGTGAGTTTTGTAACGGGGGCTACCTGTGAGTCGTGTCGTATTGTAACGAGGGCTACCTATGAGTCGTGTTGTGTTGTAACGGGGGATACCTGTGAGTTGTGTCATGTTGTAATGGGGGACACCTGTGAGTTATGTTGCATGATTGTTTGTGAGTTGTGTCACACTGTTGTTTGTAAGTTGTGTTGCATGGTTGTCTGTGAGTCGTGTTACATAGTTATCTGGGAGTCATGTTTCATTGTCATATGTGTGTTTTGTCATGTTGTTGCCAGTGCGTCATGTCGTATTGTAACGGGGGCTACCTGTGAGTCGTGTCGTGTCGTAACGAGGGATACCTGTAAGTTTGGTGTTGTAACGGGGGTTACCTATGACTGTGTAATGGAGGATACTTGTGAGTTTTGTAACGGGGGATACCTATGGGATTGGGTGTGATAGGAGATGCCTGCACACTGTTGTTTTGGTAACGGGGGCTACCCGTGAGTTTGGGTAGATGCCTATGCACTTTGTGCAGTGTCAAGTTCATCTGTGCAAAGATAGTGGACATATCCCGTACTGTGGTTCCGGACTGGGTGATGTTGATGATGCTTAGTGTGAGCCCTTGGAGCAGGATTTAGTTCGAGAATGTTTTGTATGAGTTTCAAGTTGTAATGATGTACCAGTTGTGACCGTTATATATTAAAGTAATAACGTATTTATATGACTGTGTGTATTCATAAACAGTTTTATTAGAAAATGACATATATTTTATTAGTAGTTGAGCTTTTATATGTTGGTTTCATTAATGGATTGATGACAGAAAGTTTTTAACTATGTTACTCTAAAGGTTATTGATGAGGTTGTTTACCGTCATGTAGTTATTTCTATGAATGGAAGGTTTAGATTACTGCTAGTAAGGTTCTTCTTTGGGCAGGATGAGACTCGATGTCTTAGGATTCGTTGTCTAGCTCTAGTGTTTCGGGAAGGGGCACAGGTCTCTATTACGTACGAATGTTAGGTGTATAAGTTACAGATTGAGCTGTTTTGCCTCTGTATAGTTCCTCTTTCTTAGTATTTCGTATGCGAGGTGTCGATTAGTGTGTGTTTATTTTGTTACGGGAGAGGGACTTGCTCTTCCTTCTTCTTGTTTCAGTCCTTGCAAGGACATTGTTTCCTGTGAGTTAGTATCTCCACATAGGAGTTGTGCGTGTCGGTGGATGGATGGATTTTTATAGTGTCCTACCTTTTATTAGGGATCTCGAGTGAGGGTTTGATCTGGATCGTTCGACTTACCTCCACGGTAGGAGGTGAAGTCCTTGGTTTTATGGGATTTGTTCCGAGAGGTCGTGATCGATACGGCGTGTGACGCGACTTGTTGACCGTTACGTAGGTTTTCTTAG